TGGTTGCTAGCTGGCGCGACAGTTCATCGATCGCGACCAGCTCTCCTCGGTGAACGTGCACGGACCAGGTAGGGGGCCGCACGTACACTCACGGTCCGCGATCTCAGAAGTGACTGTGTTGTGTGGTTCGTGTGGTTTGGTTCATGAGCCGGCCGGCCCCGCGGCGCCCGCCCCGCCGCGCGCCGGCCGCCCCGGCGACGCGCCCGCGCGGGTTGAACTGGCGTGGCGCCGCTGGATCGAGTTCGTGTTTGAGTTACGCGACAAAGTGTAAGAAATGGATCGGGAGTTCAAAATGACAAATTTTGTCAAATATTGTGACAATTTAATTTTATTTTATTTTTATTTCATTTTATTGCCAAATTATTGTCATTATTAAACTCTGAAATGATCGATAATCGACGTGAATGATTTCGCTTCATTCAATGTGTTTCTTTTGAGGGAAAATGAGACAAAGGAGGTAATGGCTTTTGGGGAGGTTTGGGAAAAAAACGCGCATGATGGATTCAAGGTTAAGGATAAAGCGTGCCGTAGGCCGTAGGAAAAGGGTAGACCCCACGTCACATGACTCAATAAACACACATGGCAATCACACAACAAATATGACAGAAGCACGTGGTGATCTATTTATTTTTGGGTTGACACCATTTTGACAACGGCGGGTAAATAGTAAATACAGGAGCATTTTCACAACAGCGATGTTAAATTTGACAACGGCGGTGCGCCACTGTGCCTCAGGTATAAGAAACCCTCGCTGTTATGTGTTAACAACGCTTGCTCGTACAGGTCACTTTGGCTGCGTCTACAAGGGAGTTCTGGTGGATAAGGTTGATGGAGAGAGGGAGGTGGCCGTCAAGACGCTCAACAGTAAGTACAGTGAAACCCCAATTTAACGCGAATTCGGATATAACGCGATGAGTCATTGGACCTTTTTTTGCTCTTTCCGGAACTGAAAAGGTTTTTTGGTCAGTTAAGCCGGCCTTGGGTCGAAGCGACGATTGCCTATAGATCGCGCAACTAAATAAGTTTACATGACTTGTTGCTCTGTGCATGTTGTGTACATGACTGTATAGAACTGGTCACATTGTTCGCGTGAACTCCGATTTAGCGCGACTCCGCTTTTTTCGCAGTGACATTTTATGGACCTCAACGATCGCGTTATAACGGGGCCACATTGTAGTAGCTGAAATATTGAGATCCCCCGATATGTTTAGCAGAGCGATTTAGAGTGGATATCTGAAACCCGACCGGTCAATGTGTCTCGCATGACTCGGAGTACATTCCATTCCGTAATATTTGTAATTTGTTAACTTGGAATTCAACACGCCAATGATTTGAACGTGTTGGTCCATTCAGATTGTTTTCTCTGGCAAAAACGTCGATCGCGACTCTCTCATTGATCCAAGCCAGACTATTTAGTTTTTCCTATGTTATTTTAAACCAGATATTTCATAGTACATTTAAATACATCTAGCGATTCTTTTAATGACTTTTCACTACCGTCTAATAGAAGGGATGTGTCATCCGCATATTGGGAGATTTTAAATATGGTATTCCATAACTTTATGCCTTTAATATTTTTGTTGTTTCTAATAGCAATGCCCAAAATTTCCACACAGAGGATAAAGATGTAGGGGGATCGAGATCGGATCTCCTTGTCGGCAACCTCTACCTAATTTAAAAAAAATCTTGAAAATAAGCCATTTTGAATAACGCAGGCTTCAGGACGCCATATTGGAACATGTGAATCCACTGTTTTATGGATTTACCAAAAATTGAAGAGGTCGAAAACTTTGAGTATAAAATCCCATGATACTGTATCGAAAGCTTTTCAAAGTCAATACTAACAGCATTCCAGGTATATTTTGTTCTTCTCAGTTTCGAACAGCAGTACATCATGGAGTAGTCTTATGTTTTCTCGCGATAGATCTTCCTTTTAAGAAGGCCTGTTGGTCTTCGTGAATTATACTGTCTAAGACTAGTTTTAATCTTTCAGCAATGCATGAGGATATGAGTTTATATGAGATATTTAGAAGAGAAATAGGCGCCAAATTTTTTAGATAGTTGCGAGGTCTACCTGCTTTGGTAGACATGTGATAAGCCTTGTTTTTGCGTTATGGACAGGTTTTTATTTTCATAAGCAAAATTTATAGATCGAAGAAGAAAGTATCCTATGTCTACCCAGAAGAATTTTAGAAATTCGGCAGTGTAGCCATCCAGTCCTGGACTTTTGTTATTTTTTGACCGTCTTAAAGCGTTTAGAAGCTCGGTGTATGTTATAGGTCCCTCCATATTATTTTTTTGCGATTCAGACAGAAGTGGAATATTTGCCCGTTGCAGTTTGTCAAATAGATATTGTCGTCCACACTCAACATGCTTTTTGTGTAAAGAAACTCGTAGAAGTTTTTTTGCATGCTTAAAATTTCCCTTTGTTCCGAAACAGTGGTTCCATCCTCCCGTTTTATTTCATTCATGATTTTGTTTGTATATTTCTATTTTGCTAAGTGAGAAAAATAGGATGATGGTTTTTCCCCTAGTTCATACCATCTTAGCTTGGATCTGATCATTATGCCGCTGGATCTGTTTTTTTCTAATCTCCTCTAGTTCTAAATTGAGAATGTTCTAAAGTGTCTAAATTTTTGTTTGGAGTTCTGGGGGTCCATTTTAATTTTGTCATCCAGAAATTTAATTTTAGTTTCTATTGAGCGTTCTTGCTCATTGCTTAACCTCTTTTTTTTTGAGGAATAGTGTATAATATTTCCTCTTAGTTGGACTAGGAGAGTTTCCCAGAAGAGCTGATCATCTATTGTTAGTTGCAAGTCCTTTGTGGATAGGTTGCCCGTATTCAGGATTATAGGGGAGGCTGGCGTAAGTAGATTTTATTAAATAGATTTCATTTTTTATTAGTTCTAACAAATTTCTGATCTTTTAGAAGGGAATTATTAAACTTCCAGTATCCTTTGCCATGTTCATTTTGTTGAGGTGTTTAAACCAATTTTTACTGGAGGCATGATCTGACTTATATTGGTAAGATATAAGATTCAAAGAAATTTGACATCATGTCCTCTGTGGGCCAAAAAAAATCCAAGCGGGCCATTTTAATGGATTTTTTTTACCCCAAGTAAAATGTGGCTTTATCTTCGTTAAAAGCTCTCCACACATCTACAAGTTCTTTTTCAGCAATAAGCAACTTTACCACGTTTCTGGCCCTAGGGTTATTGATGGCTTTATAATTTAGTAATTTTTGTCGGATGCTATTACCAAATTCCAGTCTCCACATAGTATAAAGACTGTCATTCTCAACTCTTCGACAATCTTTCATTATGTTGGTGTAAAAATGAGGCTTGTCTTCATTTGGACCACTAGAGACTTTGCTAAGGTAAAATCTGCAAGGAGTTATTTATGGAGATATCAAGGATGATATAGTTTCCATTTTTATCTTTTTTTGCTTTTATGTATTTCATACTCAAAGCCATTATTAAATAGAATAGCAACTCCCCTGGCCTGTGACGAATATGGACATATTAGACATTCAAGGCCCCATTCTGCTTTTACATAGTTTTCGCAGTTTGGGATCAATGTGTATGTCTTGTAAACAAGTGATTGTATGTTTTGTTCACGAAAGCGTTTAAAAAAAATCCCTACGCTTGATCCGATCTCCAAGTCCCCTACAGTTTAGTGTCTGTATGCTTATAGACATTTTGTTTATATTTTAAAGTTGAAAAAATAGGTTTTGAACTATATATAGACATGAGTATGTGGAAAACAGTAAAGTATAATTTTTGAAAGACATTTAGAGCATTGGCATTGGTTTGGGGATCTAGAAACAAGTACAGCGTGACATTTGACCAGCACAGGACATACATTAAGGCAGACAGAACATGCAAGCCTGTTGTGGTGCCTTCAACAGGTGTTCTAACCGTGGCAGGACTCCCTGTGTATATCTAACCACAAGCATGCAACATAAAAGGAACAGACATGAACTTCCGCGTTTTTGACATCATTACAAATTGTGGTTTGACGTAAACCACCGGCCCCGCATTACGAGTATAGTGGCATTTTGTATCATACGCATATTACACTGTACATGAAAAAAATACGTGCACACGCAATACATACACGTACTCTGGTCGCCTAAATAGCCATACACATAAACGCGCACACCGCAGACGTAAGTCACGAAGTGATTCACGAGTGCTTCACGAAAGTGATTCCGAGTTTTGAAATCTGGAAAAAACGTCATTTTCACAGCTGAAAGTCTACTTGAGCCTCCACCTGGCTTATCGTTCCTGAGTTTCGCTGTCGAGTAATATTATACACAGCCATATACTAACACGTGTAGTCTGACTGCATGACTACGTTGTGGAATATAAACCTAACAACGCCTTATTATGCTGTTTTGTTTTTGATTGGTCGGTAGTACGCTGGCTACTGTCGTATGAAACACAGATATATACCCAACGCACTGCACTGTTATACTGATATACTGTATATATCTGTGATTGAGTTTATTTGCTGCGATGTATTTATAATAGGGACACAAACTATATATTGTAAACAAAGCTGCCACAAAGACAGATATACGGTATATATGTAGATAAGATACATTAATGCTCGATTTAAATCTAAATAAGGGGCAGTCATTGTTATTTATGATTACGCACATATTACTGGTCAATGATTCGTTTCTTCCAGGGGGGCTGAGCCGTTCTTCCTCGTCTCTAACCATACGTCTGCGCCTTTCTCTCCTGATATATATGCTCGTCCGACGGATTTCGTAGGCGATGCTTGCGAGTTTCCCCCTCTTTCTTTTCAAATTCAGGCGGCAGGTCTGTCCGCACACTCATCTTCGTTCCCTTGAGATTAGGACCGGCTCGCAGAAAGCTTCCGGTTCTCCCCAGTGTAGGAAAAACGCACAACTATAACGTCGCCAGAGCATCGTAGCGCTTTTGGAGCGATGGGCATTACGGATTACGATACGATCGACGAAAACACTTTCCAGTTTTGAGATTTTCTTTGGCAAATTTTCGACCCTAAATATCGTATCTTTCGGATCATTTCTCGTAGCCGTCCACAGCCGTAGAGCAACAAGTGGTACTTCCTAGAATATGTCTGGGTCGAGAGCAGTGAGTACTTGATGTTATGTTCTTCCTTCCCCTCCGTGTAGACCCTCTCAGCCCCGCACTGATGTCATGTTCTTCCTCCCTCTCCGTGTAGACCCTCTCAGCCCCGCACTGATGTCATGTTCTTCCTTCCGCCTCCGTGTAGACGCCTCTCAGCACGCACTGATGTCATGTTCTTCTTCCCCTCCGTGTAGACCCTCCTCAGCCCCGCACTGATGACATGTTCGTCCTTCCCCTCCGTGTAGACCCTCTCAGCCACAGGCACTGATGTCATGTTCTTCCTTCCCCTCCGTGTAGAACCGCTCTCAGCCATGCCACTGATGTCATGTTCTTCCTCCCTCTCCGTGTAGACCCCTCTCAGCCACGCACTGATGTCATGTTCTTCTCCTCCTCTCCGTGTAGACCCTCTCAGCCACGCACTGATGTCATGTTCTTCCTTCCCTCCCGTGTAGACCCTCATCAGCCACGCACTGATGTAATGTTCTCGACCCCCCCCTTCCGTGTAGACCCTCTCAGCCATGCACCTGATGTCATGTTCTTCCTCTCCCTCCGTGTAGACCCTCTCAGCCACGCACTGGTGGTCATGTTCTTCTTCCCCTTCGTGTAGACCCTCTCAGCCACGCACTGATGATCATGTTCTTCTCCCTCTCCGTGTAGACCCTCTCAGCCATGCACTGAATGTCATGTTCTTCCTCTCCTCCGTGTAGACCCTCTCAGGCCACGCACGCTGGTGTCATGTTTCTTCCTCCTCTCCGTGTAGACCCTCCTCGCAGCCCCGCGCTGATGTCATGTTCTTCCTCCCCCTCTCCGTCTATAGACCCGCTCAGTGAGGAGGAGGATGCTGGACCCTCGTTCCTGCAGGAAGGGCTCATGATGCGCGACTTCAACCACGAGAACGTTCTCACGCTCATCGGCGTCTGTCTGCCGGAGAAGAAGGAAGGTCCGATGGTGATCCTCCCCTACATGAAACACGGCGACCTTCTCTCCTACCTACGCAACGAGAGCAACGTGAGTATACTGTATACCGCGCGTATTTTTTGCGTGCAGATATTTCTGCGGATTCAGACTCGACGGACGAAGCGTCAACGGCTGTCGGGGTTGCTATATACAATCTCCGCCACCATATTATCTCTGTAATCTCATCTTGCGTGGTGCCCTCTTTTGTAGAATCCGACGGTTCGGGACCTGCTCCGGTTTGCGACGCAGATTGGCGAAGGCATGGCGTATCTCGCCGACCTCAAGTTCGTGCATCGCGACCTCGCTGCACGAAACTGCATGTGAGTGTCGCCGTGGCAACTGATCAGTGGTGGGAGAGAGAGAGAGAGAGAGGGTGTGTGCGTGCATATGTGTATACGTGCGTGCGTGTGTCTGCGTGTGCGTGCGTGCGGCTGCGTGTGCGTGCGTGCGTGTGTGAACGCATGCATGCGTATGTGCATGCATTTTACGTCAAATCTTCCGAATTGCTTCTCCCGCGGTGAAATTCGATTGTAACTTTACCGCCGCGACACACGCGCGTCTCTCTGTCGCTGCAGGCTTGACGAGAACCTCGTGGTGAAGGTCGCTGACTTCGGCTTGTGCGCGACATCTACGAGCGTGACTACTACAGCGCAAAGGACAAGAAAGCCAAGCTTCCTGTCAAGTGGATGGCGATAAGAGAGCCTTGTAGAAAGGGCACCTATGACACGAGGAGCGACGTGTGGTATGTGCGGCGGTGGCAGGCAAAGGAAGAGGGGGAGAGAGGGGAAGGGAGGGGAAAAGGAAGAGAAGGTGAAGGGAGGGAAAAAGGAAGAGGAGGAGAGAGAGATAGATAGAGGGGGAGAGAGGTGAGGGGAGGGAAAAAAGGAAGATGGGGAGAGAGGGGAAGGGAGGGGAAAAGGAAGAGGGGGAGAGATGGATAGATAGAGGGTGAGAGAGGGGAAGGGAGGGAAAAAGGAAGAGGGGGGAGAGAGAGAGAGAGATAGAGCATGAGAGAGGGGAAGGGAGGGAAGAAGGAAGAGGGGGAGAGAGAGATAGATAGAGGCTGAGAGAGGGGACGGGAGGGGGAGAGAGGGGAAGGAAGGGGAAAAGGAAGAGGGGGAGAGAGAGAGATAGATACAAGAGAGAAAGAGAGAGGGGGGGGGAGGAAAGAGTGAGGGAAAGAGAGATGCCATGATATACTACTATAACAGAGCATCATGTTGTATATTACCATGATATACTACTATAACAGAGCATCATGTTGTAATATTTACCATGATATACTACTATACAGAGCATCATGTTGTATATTTACCATGATATACTACTATAACAGAGCATCATGTTGTATATTTACCATGAATACTACTTAACAGAGCATCGTGTTGTATATTTACCATGATATACTACTATAACAGAGCATCGTGTTGTATATTTACCATGATATACTACTATAACAGAGCATCGTGTTGTATATTTACCATGATAACACTACTATAACAGAGCATCATGCTGTATATTTACCATGATATACTACTATACTGAGCATCATGTTGTATAATTAACCATGATATACTACTATAACAGAAGCATCATGCTTGTATATTTACCAATGATATACTACTATAACTGAGGCATCATGTTGTATATTAACCATGATATACTACTATAACAGAGCATCATGTTGTATATTTACCATGATATACTACTATAACAGAGCATCGTGTTGTATATTAGCCATGAAACATGACAGATCGCTGTGTTGCACGTGGTGATGGATGGTATGCGTTGTCGCTGCCAGTGTCGTATGGTGTCCGTGCTGTGGGAGCTACTCACA